CATCCAAACTCATCATGATCCTGTCAAACAAGTTTTACAAACTTTGCTTAAAAATGGTCTTTTTGTAAACTTGAGAAATGCGTATTTGATCAACATGAGGTTCAGTTTTTGGGGTATAACATTTCTGCCTCTGGTTTCCAAATCGATCCTCCCAAATTAGAGGCTGTTCTACAATGGCCTCAACCCCCAGACTCAAGCAGCTAACCTCACAGACAGGAAGAGGCTGGCAAGTGGGAACTTTACCTCCCAGTGCTATAACAGCATTCAGAGCCAAGTAGGCTTACTCAGCAACACATGACAGAGTTTTCTTATTAAATTAAGCCAACCACTGGATGAGGTTAATTGGGTTAATATTCCACATAACTGTATAGCAAGTGTTTGCCTAACTATTTTACATCCTACAGATATAGGGCCAGTGCAACATTATTTTGCCTCCTAAGAAAAACCAGATACGTGCATCCTTGATTGCATCTTGCGTAAGAAAGGGGTGGATGCAGGCTATGTTTTTAAGATGGCATCTACAAGATTTGGCAACATACTGGATGTAAGACTCAAAGGTGAGGCCAGAATCAAGTAGGACACCAAGACAGCGCGCTTGCAAGGATGGACGCATGTGGATACTACTAACTTGAAGGTTGAGCGAAAGAGGAAGATCCATATTAAGAGGAGAAAAGACAAGGAGCTCAGTTTTAGAGAGATTGAGTTTCAGAAAGCGGGAGGACATCCAGTCAGAGATGGAAGAAAGACAAGCAGTGACATGTTGCAGGACAGCAGGGGAGGAAAGATATATCTGTGTGTCATCAGCGTACAGGTTGTAGTGGAATCCAAATGAGGTAATAAGTTTGTCAAGAGAGGCAGTATAAAGAGAAAATAGAAGGGGACCAAGGACAGATCCTGAGACCAAGGACTCCAACTGAGACAGGATGAGGGGAGAAGGTATCATTAGAAAAGGAGACACTGAATGAGCGTTGGGAGAGATAAGAGGAAAACCATGAGAGGACAGAGTCACAGAGACCAAGTGATTGAAGAGTTTGAAGAAGGAGAGCATGATCAACGGTGTCAAAGGCAGCAGAGAGGTCAAGAAGAATTAGTATGGAGTAGTGGCCTTTGGATTTAGCTGCGATTAGGTCGTTAGTAACTTTGATAAGAGCATTCTCAGAAGAGTGGAGAGGGTGGAAGCCAGATTGAAGATGGTCAAGGAGAGAGTTGGAATTGAGGAAGTGAGACATACGGGTAAAGACAAGTAATTCCAGAAGCTTTGAGGAAAAAGGGAGCAGGGAATATGGGAGGATAGTTAGAGGGGGAGGACGGGTCTAGAGATGTTCTTTCAGGGTAGGTACTCCAGTGGCACTCAAGATCACACACTTCCAGATATAGGCTATCCCTGCTCTTAAATTTTAATTAATCCAAATACCCCCGTAATAATGTTTCTAAAACAGTTAACATTTCCCCATTAATCCTCCACCCATTATGGTGAATTAACATGTCCACTGGTTCATCAAAACTACTCACATTCCAAAGATGTAATTATAGTCCTACTCCATCATCTAAACCAGAACCCATTACTCCTGCAATTCATAACTGGAATGTGGATTAGATACATGTACCATACATTACCTGCTGATTCACTTTTAACAAAATATTACAGAAATAGATTTACACAAAACTTTCATGAGTTTATTTAAAGTCAAACCCTTTTTCAATATATCTGTTTTATATGCTACACTGCCTACTAATAATAACCTGTTCAGTTCATAGACAAATGTTGTAATTCTCTAGAAATCAGTGTACCAGTTTTATCTGGACATATTTCATTATGGACATTCTTTTCTGAATGCCTTTATCAGCAAGTATCCTATTGTACAACAGGTGAGTTATATTTTTCCAGTCCTTCCAGAAACCATATTCCATCACAGAAAGAAAAATGCCTGTCTTTTAGCAAAGGATTAAAGGGTTTAGGATCAGATATCTTAACCTTGATGGATATGAGTGTTCTCTATCCAAAACTGATTGTGAGAAATCTCAGTAAAGAATGACACGTGCTGATCCCTGACAAGATGGCTGCAGTTCAAAAATGTGTCTGATCTTTTGCATGAAGCTTTTCTCTTTGGAACCAGTGAAGTTATTTGAGGGGTGAATGATAGCTAGTTATTGAGTGCTAGGATGAATCTGTATATGGTGTTGGATTTTGCTTTTCATTCTTTACACATTAGTCTACTGTAACCATATATAACATGCATTGAATGAGATACACGAGCCTTTTAAAAAAATGCTGAATTTGCATCAGCATATCCATTGAAATCCGGGTAACCATGGTTCTCTGAAAATAGCTACAGCTCACTATATTTATATTATTAATATATTTATTATAAGTTGCTTATAATGTGAAGATGAAATGTTGAGTTATTGAGTAAAACAACACCTATAGGTTGTTTTCTTCTAAACACATCTCAACCCAGTACAGTCTAGGCCCAACCAGGGCACCCATTGTATTGAAGGTAAAAACCATAAACATTGCTCAATTAACTAAAAGAGATGGAGTTTCAACAATGATTAACTAAAATGTAATTTAGAACATGAACAAAATATCTTAAATACACTGACTGACTTTTAAACACATTTATAGTAGTTTAAAAACACATTACTGTGTGTATTATTGCTGTGGAGCTCTATTATACACTCAGACACACCAATAATATGGAGCTCCTGGAAAAGCGAGCCAGAGGGATTTAGGCCCAAAATAGGGACAGTTCCAACTAAATAGGGGCACTTAGCAAGTTTTCCAGGCTAAAGCTAGATACAGCTAGTTAAATATAATTTTATGAGCTTGCTCTGACACAAGACTATACATGTCACAATAATGAAAACAGGAGTAATAATGCCGAGTTTTGTATGCACCAATTTTGGCACTCATATTTAATAGATATCAAACTGGTGACATTTTTCAAAAGTATCAGGGAAAAAAACAAAAGACATTTTGGAACCTTTTTTTTTGTAGTATGTTAAAACTATCACAATAACAATAGATTTGCATAGGCCTACTTCTGTAAGGCTTAATAGATGCTATTACAATACACTCATACCTAAATAAATAGACATACAGATCTATATATATAAAATGAATTAAGAATACTTACTAATCTAGACTTTAAAACGTCTAGGTCTAGAAAGTCATAACTAAGAAACATGGGACCCTTGAGAGAGAGAGTTTTCCGCATTGATATGCAACAATGAGCTGTTATATTTGAAATAGAAAAGAAACAATTGGAGGATTACGTGAAACCGGATCTATTCCAGATGTTACATACATGTCATTAAGGGTTGCCGCTACTGACATGTACATAACTCAAGTGGAAAGAAAGTAAGTTAATTGGCAAGTAAATATAAAAAAAATCACTAAAATTTCAGTTTTGGAGCAGTGAGTAAAATGTAAAAGTCTATATAACCATATGAACCAAAATATGTGTAATTCGTTTATGACCAAGTTTCTCATTTACAGTTCGCGAACGGTTCGCGACATCACTATTTACAACTTGTATGGACAGCTAGACTTCCTATGCCATCAATAAGTTTGTTAGACTGATGGATCCAGGCTGCTAAAGTTTTAAATAATAGGCTTAGCATGCCTTCCAACATTCCCGCGTACTGTCCCACTGTCCTGACTTTGTTCCCTGATGTCCCACTTTTAAAGACACAAAGGAACTTACCTTAATAAGTGTAGCACTAGTGCATCACTATATGCACTCGGCTATGTAGAGGCCATTAGGATTCTGTATAGAAGACAGAAACAGTGCTCCCTGCATGGTGTGCCTTTAGTGGTTTGGCCTGCTTGATTGGCAGGCAGCCTGCATTGCATTCATTCATGCCAAGCTGACCTGTTAATTCTCTGAGCAATGCCAGTGATGTGATTTGTGTCACTGTTCTGCCCACTTTTACTCCAGCCACCATGTGAAGCCAATGGGGGAGGAGGTATGGATTAGAATATTGTATAGAATTTCTTATTATTACACATGTTTTCCTAGGACTCATTAAGGAAAATAAAAGAAGTAACAAGTAAGGCATCCTACTTAAATTGTCTTTTCCCGGTGTAAAATTGTTACTTGGTGAGCAGAGGCAACTAGAATTTGTGAGGCCTTAGGCAAAGCTTAAATATGAGGTTAGACATTCCCCACGTCCCATGATAATTCAAATTGAGCAGGGCCTTCATTACTTTCTATTTCTGTATGTCCAACAATGTGTAGATCTGTTTGTATGCAGTGTCAATGTGTGAATATGTAAACAATAGTTATGTGTAAGAGCATGATCTGTGAATACAGGTGTTTATTTGCATATAGTGTTAGAGTGTGAATGCAGTGTTCTAGTGAGTAGTAGAGATACATGTACATTCAAATGTAATTTGTGTGTGGAGTGAGTATTTGAAGAAAGGGTTAAATGTGGGCAAGCTGCTCCTCCTTTTGTGATCTGTCTCAGTGCTCAGAAAAGAAAGGGAACAACTCACAAAAATAAAATGATAGGCTACCATATAAACGATTAATCTACAAATCATGTGTCGGCACTCCGGGCTATAACAGTTCAAATTATTTAGCATTCTGTATTTTTACTTTGTTCGTATAATATACAACAGGGATCTAATTTAGTGCCAATTTAGATACATTGTTTACTTTGTGTCACTGTATGATACATTTTTGCTTAAATGGTATATTTAACACTTTGTATTTCGCTATTTACTTTAAATTTTAAAGTGATTTCATTGACTCTGTACACACTTATTTCTATGAGAGTATTTTCTTTTTAATTTGTATTTTATAGATTTTTTTTTCCATCACATAAAACAAAGATCCAAGCATTAAAATACATTAAACATGGGGCGTGGCCTGGCCGTGATTGAAGATGGCCGCATAAGCCGAGTGCTCCGCTAAAGCAATCAACAACTGCACTTGTAAACCACACCAACGCAGACTAAAATACTACCACGCAATCTGCAAACACTCCTGGAGCATGATGAGACCCTCACAAACGAAGAAGAAAGCGAGGGAAGCCACCCTCATGACCTTCTTCCCAGCCGAGAAGAAACAAGCCGACATGCAAGATGGCGGCATGGAAAGTGCGCATAGACAGAGAGGACGCAGCTTCAAACTCCTCAACCTCCTACTCCAACGACACCACCCGCATACTAACCCAGATGAAGGCGGACAGAGACTCCCTAGCGTGAGAAATCGAATGGAACTCTAGAGAGATACGTCAGGAGATCCAGGCCTTGGGTACCTGCACAGCCGCACTAGAGACCAGAGTGGAGGAGGTGGTAAAGGCCCATAACACAGCTCTATCATACTTCTCTGAATGGGAGCCCCGTCTGCAGGCACTAGAGTCCTCCATGGAAGACATAAATAACAGGTCCTGCTGTAATAATATCCGGTTCTGGGGAATCACCGAAGAAGAGGGAAAAACAACAGTAAGAGACAAAAGTCCTCAGTATCCTCAAGCCCCTTTTACCAGATATCCAAAATGGCAGGTTGAAGCTGGACAGGGCCCACCACACTCTCGGCGCGCCACGGAGAGTGGGAAACCAACCCCAGGACATTATTGTCCGATTTCTATATTACTCCACAAAAGAGGCGGTGATCCGCAAAAGCCGCAATGCAGAAGTGACATTCAAGGGTAACCCAGTCCAGATATATCAGGACCTCTCCCCGGTTACTCTAGCAGAGAAGCATGGAAGCCAGTGTCGGAAGCATTAACAGCCCATGGAATCCCCCTTTCAAAGTATTGGCATTTAAAGGAGGCTGCACTCAGGTCCTACTCCCATCAGGAGACCCTCATAAATTCTTTCAGTCCCTTGGCCTGCCTCTGCCAGCAGGGGTGAGGGAGCTGTTTGTGAAGCCCCCTCCACCGACCCCACTGCCACACGAATGGATGGAAACAAACATGCACTGAAAACCCAAAGATCCCACCGAGACTCTTGCCCAGAGTGTCTGAAAACATAGGACTTTGCTGGACTGTGCTTCACTGTCCCACCTGTAGTACGGCTGAATACCTACCTGACTTGGAGACTAGTGACTGCCACATCCCCGACGACCCCCCAATAGTCCCCAAAAGGCCAAGATTACATAATCCCTAGCCACCTCAGGAACAAGCCAAATAGCTGGAAGACATACCTTAAAGCTGAACTTTAAATTTTTTATTTGTTAAATTGTTTTATTTCATTTTCTTAAAACATGAGGAGAGGGAAACAAATCAACCACTCCACAGAGGAGGGTCTCCTACACCTCCCTCTGTATGGCCCGCTGTATGGCCCTCCGCTATTTGATCAAGAACCTGGACTCGCCAACTGAACGGCTCTCACGCAGATAGAACCCCAATTAAGATTTACAGAGCCTGGGAGGGTGGATGGGGAGGGGAAAGCAGGCCTTTGCCTGTCTCATCTCATTCTTATGGTGAGGGGAGACAGGCGATGGCTCACAGAAAGGAAATGCAGGTGAAGGAGGGGGGGAGGACGGAAAGCAGTGGGGAAAATAAGGAAGGGGGGAAGGGGTGGGAATGACAGGAATATAGAAAGACATCCAAGTCCCCTCCACAGATTAGAGGTGGCAGCTTGAGGGGGGAGAGAACTCCAAGGGAGGGGGGGTGAGTTAGGATGCTGAGCATTAGGCCAAGGTCGAGCACTCACAGGCCACTCTTGAAAGTGGGATTTAAATGTTATATGCAACCTAGAAATATGTTTTGGTAGTATAATTTGAAATATAAATGGACAATTAGCTGATGTTGATATTGTGGAACCAAAATGCCTGGGACTGGTGCTATCACCATACCCTATCATGGCGGATTTAGACCCGAGAGGTGTGGTCGCCCCGATCGTACCCTGGCAATGTTTAAGTCTAGTTATTATTTCTTGTAAATACCTTTGTTGTGTACATATGTTCTTTCTTTTTACGGTTCTCCTCCTCTTTCTATCCTTTCTCTCCTTGACGCTGCCCGTGACAACATTAACACCCTCCGGGACCCATGACCTGCCTGGCCATATGGCATACACCCAGCTAATACCCCTTACTATCCATTATGACCACTAAAATAGTTTCCCTCAATGTAAAGGGTTTAAACTCTCCGCAAGCAGAGACTGCTTTCAAAGAACTTAAGCGCCTTCGTGCTGACATTAAATTTATCTAAAGGACTCACCTCAACGAATACACTCATCTCTCCTCAGAGGCAAACACTATAACAAAATTTACCAATCCCCGGCCCAAACGCAAACATAATGGGATTACCATCTTACTTCACACGCTGCCAATTTTCAGTGATAATGAGGGGAAGTATATCCTAGATTCTGTGACCATAGGGTTAGCTGGCTGTATCTACTTAATCTCTTACATCATTAAGGGTTATGCTACAAGGGTTTCTGGAATTGGAACTCAACTGCAGTTTGTAGAACTCCTTAATTACAATAGTTATGAGATGGAGACTCTTTCTAAATTAATAAGGATACTGTAGCTTTAAAGCAAAGTGGAGATTGCAGGCAATTAGAGAAATAGGTGAAGTCTTAATGATTGTAATATCTTTAGTAACTGTGGATTATAGCATGTAAGTAACAATTCAATAGCAGGAGTCTGTAGGTTATAGTAAGCAAGACACAGTTCATTAATAAGTAAATCCTCAGAGATATTTGAATAGTATACCTAAGCTTGATGGGAGTTATCTTCCATAGGAATAACATGCAAACAGCAAAGATTTTAGCAAGCAAGAAACAGTTCAGTTGTAAATGAGACTCCTTTGATTAGAGTGAATATTATACTTAAGATTAAGGTGAGTTGTCCTCTATGATATCGGGTAGCTAAAGTCCAAACAATAAATGGTAAACACAGTCCGGTTTCCAGGATCCAATAGGAGATGGAAAGCGCAATCCTTTTAACAGTCCAAAGGTTTCGGGAAGCTTGAGAGTGAAGCTCGTGTAGCCGGCGTCTAAACAGGGAAGTAGGTCCGAGAATCACCAACCAGTTTGTATCTGGCGCGATCTCTCTAAATAGAGTAAGAAAGCCGCGTCAGAAAGGGGGCGGGGCCGGCTCTGCATACCGGAAACACCGGACCCGGAACAGATACGGCATGACAATACCCTCCTGCCATGGTGACAATGATACAGGCCCTATACTCCGGCCTCCAGGCAGAGTTGGGACTGCCGGGGGCACGGGATCCCTCCCTTCCTTATCTATAATGGCACACGCCAAGGATGGCCACTCTCACCAACACTGTTCACCCTTTCAATCAAACCACTCCTACACCTTATCCACAACAATACCTTCATTAGAGGCATTGAAATAGGTAACGAATGCTACAAAACAAAAAAGGTTACGCAGACAACATTCTTATCTCATTGCAACACCCCACACAATCATTACCACCCCTATTCCAGCTAATAAATGAGTTTAGTGAAGTCTCAGGCTTCAAAAACAACTATGAGAAATCCTGTGCATTACCCTTTCACATACCAGACTCGGAGGCAGTCCAGCTGATGTTAACCCACAGCATACCCCTTAAAAAGTCCTTTAGATACTTAGGAGTCACCATACGACAGACACACTCAACTATATGCAAATAATTACAATCCCCTATTACAGACACTGAAGCTAGAAATAGAAAAATGGCTCATCTCATGGATAGGACATATACATTGCATAAAAATGAATATTTTACTTAGATTACAGTTCCTGTTCCATGCACTCCCCATTAAAGTGACCAAAGAAAACCTAGCTTCCCTACAGACTACAATAGATGCCATTTGGCAGCAAAAACAACAGACTGGCGAGACACCTATTATATTACCCAAGAGACAGAAGGGGACTGGGCCTACTGAATCTCCTCCGGTACTGCTACGCAGCACAACTTTCTCAGCTGGTGCTGTGGCACGCACCCCCAGAGGACCACAGATGGGCAGACATAGAAGCGGGACTAATGAAATACGATATCCCCGACCTGTACATGTGGCTAGACAGGCCCTCCCCGGCTTTATTACGAACGATTTGCCTATCGATACTCGACTCCCTAGACATTTGGGACCGGACCAGGGGGAAATTCAAATTGGTGAAACAGCCCCTCCCCAATGACACCTATCTACCAAAACAGACAGTTTCAGCCGGGCATGAGGCCGCAGGAATTTAAAAACCTAGAAAGGGCTGGACTCCAGAGACTCCATCACCTGTGGCAGGGGAACCCAATGCTTAGCTTCAATATCCTAAGGCAAGTAATTCCACTCTCTCCCTCTGACTTCTTTCGCTACATGCAAGTAGGTGACTTTGCACTTTCTGCCGAAGTTAGAAAAACAGCAACACTGACCCCCACATCCTTTGAACACCTCTGTAATGAAGGACAGTACCGAAAAAGTCTCATTTCCCTTCTATACACACACACACCTTAGCAAAGAACCTTCGGTATGGGGTACTATGACCTATATAGACAAATGGGAGGCAGACATAAGGGAACAACTGGAGGGAATTGAGTTGCATACTAAAATCTCAGTATGGGTCCTATCCGAGGAACAAATGTACAAGATAATGTTCAGATGGCATGTCACCCCAGTTTTTTTACACAGGGTGGGTCGCAGCCCCACAGACTTATGTTGGAGACTATGCGGCCACAAAGGGACGTGCTTCCACATGTGGTGGCAATGCCTCAAATTGCACAATTTCTGGAAGGGGATTATAGACCTAACCTCTGAAGTACTACAGACACCCATAGTACTTCACCTTATGGACATTTCTACTATCACGCCCCATAGAGGGATTACCAAGACACTCCTGCAAATTAATCACCCTCATAGCACTAGGAGCACAGAGAGCTTTGGCAGCGGCATGGCTCAAAGTGGAAGTCCCCTCCATGCAGGAGGTGATGGCGAAAATTGGGAACAACCACATAATAGACAAACTCACTGCCAAGGTGAGACACTCAGAACCCAAATTCACCAGGGTCTGGGAACAATGGATGACGTATACTAATGCACATAACTGAGGGGCAGCGAGCAGAGGTGATGGGTACTTTACACTCTCATCCTCTGATTCTTCACTTTCCTATCTGATGGGGACACCAATGAGAATGATAACATAACGGGGGGATTCTCTATAGAGTGGCCCGGGGCCTCGAGCTTCCTTCCCAAGAGAACACCCCTATAAGCGAAGTTCCACACAATTCACAGGTCCACGGATTACCTAAGAAACCTCATACTCACAGGGGCCGATACTTCTCTCTCTGGTTCAGAAGTTTCACTATCCTATATTCTCTTCACCTTTCTCTAATGTTTATGTTATTTTGTTCATTTTTTATTCATA